ACATAAGAGACAGAGAGAATAAGGTGGAGCAACTGACAAGACGGGAAGGAGAACGCTATAATAAAAGGCAATACAAGGCACTGGCAGCAGGTGGATGTTGGTGTTCTAGGTACAGTTTAGGTATAGTGACCATGACATCCAAATGTTATGAGAAAGGTGAGAATTGTGTTACTGTAAGCTAGGTTGTTTCCAGTACTTTGCAAGGACTTGTTTGTCTACAGGGTTATTCTTCAATGAGCTTGTTTTCAACGTTCTTGAGGTCTTAAAGGATCATTCCAAGCAACATAGCCACTGCAGTGCACTTTAGTAGTTATGGTGCCAGCAGTAACCTGGCACTCCCAAAGTAGTCAATTGTTTTCTAAAGGTTTAATGACTTATCTGGGGTCCACTGGGTGCCAGTAACCTACTCCATTGCAGGAAACTCTCTGTCAAAACTAGCCTGGTCCTCTCACCATGAGCTGGACCAGCACAGCAGGGGTTGGCACAGAAGAGCCAATGGAATCTCCATGTATGAGCTTCTGGTTCTCAATGAGGAAGTGACTGGTGCCCAGTCAAGCCCAGATAAGTTGTCAAACTGTTAGCAAGTTTGACTACTTACACTAGGGGGCACTAAATCACTCATCGAACAGTAACCACTAAAGCACACCATACTTGTTATGGTGCTTAGAGTGTTCCTTTACATAGTTACATAGTTACATAGCTGAAAAGAGACTTGCATCCATCAGCCTTCCTCACATTTGTTTTTTGCTGTTGAACCAAAAGAAGGCAAAAAACCCAGTTTGAAGCACTTCCAATTTTGCAACAAGCTAGGAAAAAAATTCCTTCTTGACCCCAGAATGGAGGTCAGATTTATCCTTGGATGAAGCAGTTATTACCCTACATTGAAAGATTATATCCTTGAATATTCTGTTTTTGCAAAAATGCATCTAGTAGCTGTTTGAACATCTGTATGGACTCTGATAAAACCACTTCTTCAGGCAGAGAATTCCACATCCTTATTGTTCTTACAGTAAAAAAACCTTTCTTTTACCTTAGACGAAATCTTCTTTCTTCCAGTCTAAACGCATGACCTTGTGTCCTATGTAAAGTCTGGTTTGTGAATAGATTTCCACACAATGGTTTGTATTGGTCCCGAATATATTTGTAAAATGTTATCATATCCCCTCTCAGGTGACGTTTTTCTATACTAAATAGGTTTAAATTTGTTAACCTTTCTTCATAGCTGATATGTTCCATTCCTTTTATTAATTTTGTAGCCTGCCTCTGCACTTTTTCAGTGCCATAATATCCTTCTTTAGAACTGGTGCCAAAAATTGCACAGCATATTCAATGTGTGGACTTACCAGTGATTTATAGAGGCAAAATGATATTCTCGTCCCGAGAATGAATGCCCTTTTTCATGCATGACAATACCTTACTTGCCTTGGCCACTGCGGATTGGCATTGCACATTGTTGCATAGTTTGTTGTCTATAACAATTCCCAAGTCCTTTTCATGTATTGTTATCCCTAATTCCCTTCCATTAAGTGTATACGTTGCTTGTGTATTCTTTACGCCGAAGTGCATAACTTTGCATTTTTCAACATTAAATTTTATCTGCCATTTGAGTGCCCAATCCCCCAGTCTATCTAAATCCCTCTGCAGCAAAGTAATATCTTGCTCACATTGTATTATTTTACAGAGTTTTGTGTCATCTGCAAACACTGAAACATGTCTTCAAGATCATTTATAAACATGTTAAATAGAAGGGGTCCCAGAACAGACCCCTGAGGGACACCACTTGCCACCTCTGTCCAGCTTGAAAATTTACCATTAATGACAACTCTCTGTACTCTGTTTTTAAGCCAATGTTCTACCCAAGAACAAGCATTTTCATCTAGACCTAGACCGATTTCCTTGAGTTTGAACACTAATCTATTGTGTGGAACTGTATCAAATTCCTTGGCAAAATCCAAATAGATCACATCCACTGCAACACCCTGATCTATACTTCTACTTACTTCTTCATAGAACGCAATCAAGTTAGTTTGACATGACCTGTGCTTCCAAAACCGTGCTGATTTTTGCTGATAACCATGTTCTTCTCAAGGAATTCTTGAATATTATCCCTTTATAACCTTTAAATATTTTCCCAGCCACAGAAGTTAAGCTCACAGGTCTATAATTTTCAGGCAAGGATTTTGAACCCTTTTTGAATATAGGAACCACATCTGCCTTCCTCCAATCCTCCGGAACACTTCCTGAAAGAAAATAATCTTGAAAGATTAAAAACAGAGGCCCACTTATTCATTTCATTCCTCATTCCGATGCTCCACTTTTTATCCATTTGTTCTTATTTGAAATACAGAATATGTTTGTAAGCAGGGTTCATCTCACTTTCGTTCCAGTGAGTTGTTGCAATCTCATCAATTATTTATGGGGTGCCTACTCTTGGTGCACCGATGCAGAATATGTTGGTGATTTATAAATAAATGAGTGTAAGTAAACACCATCAGGTTAAAAAAGGAGTACATGGTTGAGGACCTTCTGCCCATGATTGCATGTAGCCTTACATGCCATTATAGAATAACAAGGCTTGCTGAAAATATTTAATAAGGTAAAGTATAAGGGAGAAGACGTATTAGTAATATCAGGCTGTCAGCAAGTCAAGCAATCTGCCATGTAAATATGGTTCTATTGTCACATTTCATTTTCTGCAAAGTGGTGATGCTTACATGAATAGCTAGCCCATGTTCATAAATTGTTATTTAATTCCAGTTCGACATTTGGCACAGCACGAGCCTCAAAGAGTGCCTGTATGCCACTGAGCAAAGCGTAAAAGGGTAAACAAAATGAACCTAAAATACGTTTAGCCCATCGATTTCAGCCATTTGCTTCCTGTTTGAAAGATGTTATTATTTTAACCTACAGAACCACTATGCTACGTCATAAAGTATGTTTTTCCAGGTTGCAACCTGTTGATTATAAGCACACACTTGCCTGTAGTTTCACAGTGCCAGTAATTAACCATAATAAAGTATAAATACACTTCCAGCCCACTCCAGACTAATACTTGTGCTGTAATTCTAGACTTTGGAGATGGATGCTACTGTGTTTGTCCTTGTGTATCCTAGCAGCCCGGATTTTAATGGTATTCGTGTAGTAGTGGAAATTGAAGCATTATTGTCAATTAGCCTGTGTTCACCTGTGCTCAGACTAGAATATGCTAAAAATATGGGCTGTAAGATTTGCTATGACCTCAATAGGACTATACTGATAATATTACTTACCTAATTACCTTCCTTATAACTCTATTTATGCACATTGAGCCACGCTGAGTTTTATACCATAGCATCTGGTATGTCTATGGATCTCATGTGTAAACTTGCAGTGGGCTTTGAGAATATATGTATCTCTCCCCTGAGTATAACTCATTATTCTAAAGAGTATAATTCTCCCAAAAACAAGCTGCACCAACTTCTCTGCAGCACAGCAGGTAAGTGTAGGACAAAAATCCTCTGATTATCAGAGTGTCTATCTACATAACAAAGAATTGTTCTGTTACTTTACTTAACTTGTCAGTTGAACATTCAAGGCTAGTATGGCTCTCAGAAGTACATCAAAGTTTAGTAACATAATTTGTTTTGCATTTCTTTAAACACAAATTACTTAGCAGACCTGGCCTAAGTACTCTTGGCAGTTTTCCACACATTTAGGGGGACAATTGTGTAGCCCACTCATTAGATTAATTATGCCCCTATGCCACAGCCCAGGTATGGAGATACAGAACTGTTGCCAGCTGCCCCTATGATAATTATGTTGACCCCATGGGAGCATGACAGTGCTACAGCTCCCCCTCTCCCCCCTTTGTATTTAACTACCATTATCTAGATCTCCCCCATTCCAATTTCCCTAATTTTACTCAGAGCTCTGGAAACAGAGACATTAAGCAGCAAGACATTGCTGCAGGTCTCTTGCACCTCTCAATTGAATGGATTAAGGACATTGGCCAGGTGCTCCACATTTCCCTAATGGTACCCCATACCACTGGTCTTTTTTGCATTGCCTGTTGCTTCAATTGTCAGCCCATTGCTTGTGGGTGGTAAGCAGCACTGGGGCCTTTTACTTGTCAACCCAACATTTAACTTGTTATTCTTTCATTAATTTCATGTTAAAGGTCATTGATCTACTTGTGGATGAATGGCCCAAGATTATGGGTATTTTGCTAGTTATTTAAATATTTGTGTCCATTATAATATGACGATGTTATTTACAATATTTTCATATAGTATGGCTAATAAAGCAATTGACTTACCTTTGCCAAATCTTAATATCAGTTACATCAAAACTTCACACAGCAACTTGCAGCTGGTCTGTAGGATCTTCTGGATGGAGAAGATTTTTAGTTACCCCAAAACCAGTATGTGATCCATCATCCATGACTTTTGTGTTATTTAAAGTATAATGCCATAAGTCTCTGCCATCTGGCCAAATAAAATACGACCAGTCTGTATTTTATAGACATTTATGTATTGTACATATCATTGTGCACTAATTTGTTGTATTGAATCTTAGGTATACCTCAGTAACTACATATTTTTGCTTTCTGATGACCACTGGCGATTATTGTTCATATTGTAATCTATGTGACTTTTGTTTCATATTGCACTTTTATGTTCTTTAAAATCAATAGAAATTGATTCATGGAAAAAAATAAGTATAATAAATATATGATCATTTGTATGTTTCCATGACTGAAGAAAATGCATCTATAAGCATAATTTATTTCAGCAGTATAGTTTGAAGTGGTGGAAATGTATTGACAGCATTTTGGCACTTTGGCGGGTTTGTACCCCTTACTGAGATTTGTTAAGGTCTTTAAAATGTTTCTTCCTCACTTTACGAGAAATAATAATCAATTAGTGATCTAAATATTACACAGATTATTTAGATGTATGAAAGATCACATTCAGATACTGAAACAGTATCACATTCAGAAACAGATATTTGCTTCTATTCCAAAAAGTTATTAAGAATAAATCAGATATTTATTAAGAGTTAGGAGAATAGTTGATAAAAAATTTTTGGGAGAAAATGACAATTTAGACAAAGGGGGTGTACCAAGTCTGATTTACAATTTAACATGGAGTGAGGAAAAAATAGTTGGATAGGAGATCCCTGTTCACTCCTAAAATGAGAGAGGACAATAAATATCTTACAAGTGTGCCCCTGTTTGGTACCCACAACAAATAGCTGTAACATATTTTACAGGAAAGCTGTTTTATCCTCAACTATGGCTTCCCTATGTTTTAGAATCTTGGGACATTTAAAGAGATTAGCCATTAAGAAAGGTTAATCTTTGAGAGATCTGTTTGTACATTCATACTATAATGTGGACATGAACAAATCTAGATTTTTGGGTATGTCCATGCCTGAGCTGTGCAACATAGAAACATAGAAACATAGAAACATAGAATGTGACGGCAGATAAGAACCATTCGGCCCATCTAGTCTGCCCAATTTTCTAAATACTTTCATTAGTCCCTGGCCTTATCTTATAGTTAGGATAGCCTTATGCCTATCCCACGCATGCTTAAACTCCTTTACTGTGTTAACCTCTACCACTTCAGCTGGAAGGCTATTCCATGCATCCACTACCCTCTCAGTAAAGTAATACTTCCTGATATTATTTTTAAACCTTGTCCCTCTAATTTAAGACTATGTCCTCTTGTTGTGGTAGTTTTTCTTCTTTTAAATATAGTCTCCTCCTTTACTGTGTTGATTCCCTTTATATATTTAAATGTTTCTATCATATCCCCCCTGTCTCGTCTTTCCTCCAAGCTATACATGTTAAGATCCTTTTAACCTTTCCTGGTAAGTTTTATCCCGCAATCCATGAACCAGTTTAGTAGCCCTTCTCTGAACTCTCTCTAAAGTATCAATATCCTTCTGAAGATCCGGTCTCCAGTACTGTGTACAATACTCCAAGAGAGGTCTCACCAGTGTTCTGTACAACATATGAGCACTTCCTTCTTTCTACTATTAATACCTCTCCAAGTATTCTGATAGCATCTCCTGCTGCTCTATTACATTGTCTGCCTACCTTTAAGTCATCAGAAATAATCACCCCTAAATCCCTTTCCTCATATGTTGAGGTTAGAACTCTATCAAATATTCTGTACTCTGCCCTTGGGTTTTTACGTCCAAGATGCATTATCTTGCACTTATCCACATTAAATGTCAGTTGCCACAATTCTGACCATTTTTCTAGTTTACCTAAATCATTTGTCATTTGGCTTATCCCTCCTGGAACATCAACCCTGTTACATATCTTAGTATCATCAGCAAAAAGACATACCTTACCATCAAGACCTTCTGCAATATCACTAATAAAAATATTAAAGAGAATGGGTCCAAGTACAGATCCCTGAGGTACCCCACTGGTGACAAGTCCAAGCTTCGAATATATTCCATTTACTACAACCCTCTGTTGCCTGTCACTCAGCTACTGCCTTACCCATTCAACAATATTTGAATCCAAACTGAAAGATTGCAGTTTATTGCTAAGCCATATAATAATGTCATTAAAGATTCTGAATTATATCGTCATGTGACAGGTCAATGGCTGTTTTACATGTAATTTCACCTATGGCACAAAGTTATATGGGTAAGACTGTACAAAAAGATAAGGGGAGGATTTTAAAACACTACTCAAAACCTCTAACTAGAGTATCCTATGTACTTTGTAGATGGCCATCACAATGTATCTCAACTAAGGTATATCATGTGTCATGTGCATTGAGGAGGAACATAGTTTGCCCTAGGCTCCCCTCTTCTCCTCTGCCCCAGGAATATTATTTCTATATTGAAGATATGCACTGACACACCTAGATACAGACACAAAGTTACAAGGCAATAACTGCAGGGCATTGATCCTCTCCCGGTCACCCCACACCCTCTTGGCTCTCACTTCCTCCCAGCATTCCCTGCTTTTAAGAAGGAGCCCGGTCGTGCTGTTAAAGTGCCTCATGGCACATATCCATCTGGTGGGATGAACATGTGCCATGACATGTCCCTAAGTGCATGGGCCACCCAAATGACTTATCAACCCATGCTTGCTGAGAGTTTATGTAAAAATGCAGATTTCTATTAGAAACCTTAAAGATGCTACTTCATCCTCCCATAACACAGTTCATAAGAACTGCAGCTTTTGCAAGCTGTTTTAAGATATAACCTCAATAAATACATGCATGTATTTACTAAACAGTAATTTCAATGTTATTCCTTATATGGGCAGTGGAGTGTTCCTTTAACTCTCCTGAGCTAAACCTTGCCGTCCTGGGTCATCTCATTGGCTGAAATTGTAAGCTGATTGGTCTCAGCCAATGAACTAAGCCCTGCACCACTGGGCTTTTACAAAGAATATTTTCCAAATTAGGACAAACTGTCATATATATACCCTGAGGAATATGTATTTAATTTAATATTTTTCATTACAATTATTTTAGGAAAAGCTGTGTAAAAACAATGTTTTTTCTTTTTTTTAAAGTTTTTATTTATGGTAGGCAATGAGTTAAGTTCACATGTATGGTTTCAACCAAAATCTATATGTCCTCTAAAAATGATATAAAGTTTGCTTTAAGTAAATTGTACAGGATTTTTGGAGACAGCGAAGTGCTCCAAATTGGTCTAGCCTTCAGTGAAGAAAAATGTCAAAACTGCCCAGTCTGTCAAAGGATCAAGTGTGACAAAGGACTGTACGTGGAAATGTAAAGCTGCAGGGGCCAATATACTGTCTCAAAAATGGCAGCGCGGTGTGGTACTCTGAATGTCAAGAGATGGACACAATATCATCTGCAATGTTGCCTGAAAGGTTATTAAAAATATACACTGTGTTTCTGCGACACATGAAAAGCTCAACCTCAAGACTTTGTTCTGTGCTTATAAATTAAGTTTCACCACATGGGATCTGAAGTGTGAGAAATTAATTTATTCACAAGCCCTTGGGTACACAAGATACATCTGGCTCTCTTAATATATTCTCTACAACTTTAATAAGAACTAAAAAGGGAAAAACACAATGGAATCACATTTCCCTTCCTTATCCTTTATTTTATTGCAAGGTGAAAAGTGTAATTTTGTACCAAAACAAATTGGTTACTATTCTGGGAGGGATTGTTAGGTACAATGACATGCCTCCATATTGTTTATTTTTCCAAATTCAGGTTCCAGAAATTAACTCAAATTCCACCTTGGTTGGTTTGGTTGCAGAAGTAGTCTGGAAAATTCTAAAGCACTCGACGCCTGACTTGAACTCCACAGAAATCTCTGGTGGGATTGGAAGAATGAGGCTGCAGCACACAAACCCAAGAATATTACTAAACTGGAGGCCAGTGCTCATTCGCAATTGGATAAGATTCCTCAGGAACGCTGCTTGAAGCTTGTGTCTGGCTATGCATCTCATTTGCAGCAGGTCATAACAGCAGAAGGGTGCTCTACTAAGTACTAAAGATGCTTGAATAAAGATGAATGACTAATTTTGAAACTGGAGAAGTCTCAGTTACATTTTCAGTTGAATTTGGATAAACCACTTGAAGCATTCGTTGTGTTAAGCTATTAAAATTGCTTTTGTTTGATTTGTTCTTTGCAAACAGCTTTATTTGACAATAAACCTGATTTTCAATGGGGGTTAAATAATTTTGATTACAATTGCATATATTAGACTTGAAGATTTTTGTTACGCTCTGCAGTCTGTCCAAATTTGGTCAGACCCTAACTGCCCCATAGACTAATCACGATACAAACACCTCACACAATTTATGAGCCTGTTTGTTTGATTCGTGAATCAGAGTTCCACCATAGACGCTACAAACAGAGATGATTGATGGAAAAGAAAATGATTGTTGGTGTGACAAACTCCCCTTTTTCAGTGAGTTTGCCACAAGTTCCTAGGGGAGCCTGCTTGCCAGCCTCCTGCCCACAGACTATGGACCCTGTGAAAAATAATGGTAAAGTCTCTGTTTGTGCCATTTGGACTTGTATGGCTACACTTCGAATTTTCGAAGCAGCACTTCGAACTTTCGAAGTGGCACTTCGAATTACCGAACAACCGCACGCACCAGAGACCACCCTGGAGCTTGTTAACACCTATTAACAACTTGGAACGTTTCTCACCGCAATGTTCTAATTGTTCGTCTGGGTGGCCGCAATTCCTATGGACAACCATGAGGTGGCGGCCATCTTGTTCGCATGAATGCAGGCAGCAGTGTTTGGGCATGAATCTCATGGAACTAAAATTGGATACAAAAACTCCCAAACACCGCTGGACTTCCATCATCGCCTGCATTCGATTCTATTCAACTTAGAAAGGCACTGTTCGGTGAGATCATTCGTCTGGATAAGGTGAACAAGCTCCAGGGTAAGACTATTGACTCTGTTTGGTAGTTTGTTCGTTTTCAAACTACCGAACTAGACCGACCGCAAGCCCTGATTCTCTGGAGCTGTTTTGGGCATGGGACATGCCTGTGGTCGGTCAAGTAAATTACTTCCATAGAATTACTGAATTCCTGAACTGATCCGCAACTGATTTGTGGGGATGTTATGTGTTTTGGGGTACTTTTGGGACTTTACAGAAATGTGTATCTTTTCTGCCTGGAGATAATTGTGTTAATACAGTATCTGACTCAATTATCTCCAGGGCAGAGGGGAGGAATTGTATATTATATATGGGAGTGTCATGTATTTAAACACCTTTGTCATTGGTCTGTGACTTTGTGCTGTAATCCCCCACAAGGTCCAGAGGGGAGTGCCCCTTGCATGGGGACATGCATATAAGGCCAGTTGTGACTGCCATTAAATTCTCCTTCCCGACATTTTTTTTTTTTTACTTTTTAAAAACAAAGTGATTTAACTGAAACAAATTTTTCAACCCTGTACATATCTAAGATATATATAGGGGAAAAAAGAGAAACACAAAAAAATAGTCAAACATTTTTGATTAATAAAAAATATTTATTATATTCTCTGTCCATTTTTTCTTTCTTATTATTTACTCCTCTGTTTTGGATTTTCCATGGGATTTAATTTATTTATAGGTAGGTTTTCATGCATTTGTGGTTTATCCATTGTTCCTTGGTTCTTCAAGTTTCGAAACAGATATTTAGTTATAGTTTCTTTGGGGAGAGTTGTGCACACTGATGTATTTTATCAGACAGAACAAGGTTCACACACACATGATCAGTGGTGTATCCTGGTTTTGTGCTGCCCTAGGCAGGACAAAACTCAGGCGCCGGCCTCCCCCCGCGCCACCTTCTAAATACACACACACACACAGTCAGACACACAGTCAGACACACAGTCAGACACAGACACACACACAGTCAGACACAAACACAAACACACAGTCAGACACACACACACACAGTCAGACACACACAAACACACACACACACAGTCAGACACAAACACACACACACAGACACACACAGTCAGACACACACACATAGTCAGACACACACAAACACACACAGTCAGACACAAACACACACACACACAGTCAGACACACATACACACGCACACACAGTCAGACACAAACACACACACACACAATCACTCACATTAACACTTTTTTTTTAATTTAACGCCCCCACCTCCTTACCTTTGGGAATGCTGGGGGGGGGGTTCTCTTTCTCCCTGGGGGTCCAGTGGCTGCCGGTCGGGCTGATGGGGATGGCTACTGGGCGGGCGGGCGGCTGGCGAGGGAGCACTTCCTCTGAGCACTCTGCTCAGCTCCCTAGCACGCTGCAGAGTGAGGCTGGGAGCCGGAATATGACGTCATATTCCGGCTCCCAGCCTCACTATGCGGTGTGCGAGGGAGCTGAGCAGACCACTCAGAGGAAGAGCTCCCTCGCCAGCCGCCCGCCCGCCCATCAGCCAGCGCCGCCCGCCAGCCCAGCATGTCAGTTAGCCACAAGGCTAACTAGGCATTTGCCCTGGGCATTTGGGGGCGGCTTTTTTTGCCGCCCCCTGGAAAATGCCGCCCAAGGCAAATGTCTTGTTTGCCTCGCGGCTAATACGTCCCTGCACATGATGTTATCCATTGCATCATGAAACATATCCACCCCATCGCAGTAATCATCACATCTATTCACACTCTTCCACACACTAGCTATTTGTTTGTTTGCACAGATGGGTAATCACTTCTAACAATTTGATTGGTTCATTTGTATTTACACGTATTGCTATAAATATGTGTTATTTTCATTGCCATGCATTTTGATAAAGACCCTGAGGGATCAAAATGACAAACTGATAATTTTGTTTAAAATAAACTTTACATCAAGTCCCAAGATACACTTTAATTTGGTCTCTCTCTTCATATGTTAAGGTATGTACATACAATTCTAGCTACACATGCACCTTTTATGTTTTATGCACCTCTGCCTTGATCTAAATCAAGCATGTCAAACTCAAGGGCTAACACGGGCCAAATAAACAAGGTTTAAGTTTATGTGGGTAGCAAAAAAACTAAAACTTCAGTTTTAATAGAAACGTAGGTTAATTTTCGAAAAGTACAGTATAAAAAAAGTTGCTTGACACTGGACATCCTCACACTCATAGGGATTCACAGAGCGAGTTTATTTTGAGGAGAAGTGCATTTGTATATAACCAATGTTTCAGTCCAACTTCCTTGACATATTAAGAAAAGTTTGGTAATGGGGTGGAAATGGTGAATGATATGATGTTATCTTGTTGATTTTGAAGTTCTATGAGTGTGTTCTTCACTTAGGGCTGAGATCATCAAACTTGAAAAGCATTATGAGGCTATTGTGCATGTGTAGCAAAAAGCTGTGCGGCCAGTCAGGATCTCCATGTGGAGCATTCAGCGCCTCCATGCAGACCCAATTTAATAAACTGCCCCCCCCCCCCATTTTAATACACTGCCCACAAATTCAATACATTGCCCCTCAAATCCAACACACTCCACCCCCGTTCTCCACTCTAATACACTGCTCCGTTCACCCAATCTAATACACTACCCCTCCCCAGTCCACTCTAATTGAATACACTGCCCCACTCCCAACAATTTAATACTGTCCCCCCCCACCACTCTAACACACTGCCTACCTCCCAATTTAAAACACTGCCCCCTCCCACCACTCTAATACACTGCCTCCTCTATCCCCCAATTTAATACACTGCCCCCTCTTCCCCAAATTAATACACTGCCCTCCCCTCATTTAGCACACTGCCCCCTCCCACCACTCTAATACACTGCCCCCCATTACCACTTTAATACACTGCCTCCCCTTTCCCCCGATTTAATACACTGCCCCCTCACTCCCCCAAATTAATACATTGCCCCCCTCCCCAATTAAACACACTACACAGAAAAATCTTTCAAGCCCCTATTCTCCTACCTTAAGATAAGCCCATCCTCCAGTTCCACCCCAACTCAGTTCAAGCAGGCCAGACGCTACTCCGGCACTGCGAGAAGGAGGGAAGGGGGAGTGGCTGGCCTGCTCTGCAGACAGCCACTCTGCCCTCTCGTGGCTGTGGGAGGGAAGACCCAAATCAGACAGAAAATATTTTCCCGGTATTGCGCCTGGTCACAGCCACAGCACAAAGCGCAGGCGGGCCGCAAATATCTCCAATGTGGGCCACAAGTGGCCCGCGGGGCGCAATCTTGACATGCTTGATCTAAATAATTATAACTGACTTCTAAAGAAATATTTTTTCCTCAAACATTTGTTTTCCTAAAGCACTTCTTTAGAATGCATTGACATAATTAAATAAAAAGACAAAGTAATCAGTCAACAAAAAAAGCAAATGTGTCTCTTCCCACACCCTATGTAATCACAGGCAGGTAACATTTACTTATTTCAATATAGTCTGATCATCTTGTACTCGTCACATGTATTGAATTACTCCTATAGTCTAAAGCTAGACCTTTCCATAACTCCGCAATTCGAACAACCTGGGTGTATTAGTGTTACATTCGTTGAAAGCATGACAGTAGGTGTGAATTGCAGCTGCCTGTCCCTGCTTCCTGTGCGTGGTATTCTGCAAGGGAGTAAGGCTGTTAGTGAGCTGCGGAGATGGGACATCACATCCTTTCTTGTTCTGGAAAACATAGTAACATTGAATGTGACGGCAGATAAGAACCATTCGGCCCATCTAGTCTGCCCAATTTTCTAAATACTTTCATTAGTCCCTAGCCTTATCTTATAGTTAGGATAGCCTTATGTCTATCCCACGCATGCTTAAACTCCTTTACTGTGTTAACCTCTACCACTTCAGCTGGAAGGCTATTCCATGCATCCACTACCCTCTCAGTAAAGTAATACTTCCTGATATTATTTTTAAACCTTTAACCCTCTAATTTAAGACTGTCCTCTTGTTGTGGAAGCTTTTCTTCTTTTTTTTTTATTCTTTATTTTTGTTGTGCATGTTTAGTTCAGGATTTCAATGACATACCATACAAGAGTGAATATCGTAAAAATAATTACATACAAGGTGCAGGGCACGTCAGAGGACGATGTGCGAAGGGTCCCTCACATGAGGAACAGGTTGAGTGCCTGAGACCTCAGGGGGGATCGACAGCCCCAAAGTTCCTAATAGGACGGCAGATTCAGCAGGTGAGTTGCGTCCGCGTGTGGACCCATTGTTTGTCACCACCAGTGACCTGGGAGCCATCCACCTGTAATTGACTCCAGCCGACCATAGTTGGCATGTGATTGGAGTGAGGGATCTGCGCCATTGGAGTGTAGATTGAGTGAGATCCTGAAAGAAACTGAGGATGGAACCCTCAAAGGAATAAGGTAATAAGTCTCAAAGAAATAAGGAATAAGTCTCTTTTCTTGTGTAAGGGTGCATCAGATAATGATGTCTCGTCCTACGGTGGTCGTAACTTTGGTGTTGGTAGGTAGACGAAAGATCCCGTCATGGGAGAACTTTTTGGCATGGCTTGGTGGTAATATGGAGGCCACCAGGCATCTTACATAGTGAGGGAGCTCATCCTGTTTGGTATCAGCGTGTGTGCCTATGATATTTATTTGGTTTTGCCTGGACTGCTCGTCAAGGGCTGCATAGTGTATGGAGAGGGCCTGTTGTTGGGCCCTTCAGGGTGTGTAGTGATGTTTTGAGGGAAGAAACGTCTTCTCTGAGCCCTGCAATGTCCCTCTCGGAGGCCTTGACTCTGACATTGACCCCCTGCACGTAGGATCGCCATATCTGTAGCCAGCAATTTCTTAATATCCACCAGCAGGTTTTGGATATCTTCCTTGGTGGAAGGGGCTTGCCTGTAGCGGTTCAGACCACGAGGGGACACCTGTATGTGCCCTTGATCTTCTGGCTCCGCCATTTTGGGCAGGGTCTGACTCTGCAACAACTCATTAATGTCCCTTGTTCTGGTTGTGCCTTTGGTTATGGTCGTTGTGATCACCGTCCCATAGTTGTGATAGTGTCAGGCTGATGTATGTCGGCGTATGGGAGTCCCAATGCCGGTTCTCCAGGCAGGGACAGACCATCCAGGAGGCCGCTCCAGGCAAGGATCTGAGTTTGGTACGTAGGCACCAGATTTGCGCTTTTGCTGTTTTGTCTTTGGAGTCTGGAAAAACGGTATATGTAGTTGCAGTGAGATGCCCATTGATGAATATCTGTCTGTATTTTGGTTTGCGGGTATGGGGACCCCTGATATTTGGGTATTTTACTGATTTTTTCCCCAGAACTGTGGGAAATGGCGTCCACTCTGTTTCGCGATTAGGCTCAGCCTCAGCTTTTCTTTTTTGAAATATAGTCTCCTCCTTTACTGTGTTGATTCCCTTTATGTATTAAAATGTGTCTATCATATCCCCCCGTGTCTCGTCTTTCCTCCAAGCTATACATGTTAAGATCCTTTAACCTTTCCTGGTAAGTTTTATCCCGCAATCCATGAACCAGTTTAGTAGCCCTTCTCTGAACCCTCTCTAAGGTATCAATATCCTTCTG